AATGACGGCACGCCACTGTTGCCATATTCATAAAAAAAAATGTTTTATAGACCCCTATACACCCACTATAATATCAGTCACACAAAATTTTTTTTTGTTTCTCGAGTAGCAAGTAGTGTAATAATCCTTTCTGTTTTTTTTAATATCCTTTTTTTTTATAGTAGTATGAGTCTTAAATTTAAAGCAATATGATTTATATGTAAATTCTGCAAATAGAAAATATTAAAAATAATTTCTAATCAATATTTTATCAGAATTCCATACCTCATTAACTTTATGAATTTCAACCGTTTTTAAGACATCTGGAAACAGAGATAATATTTCTACAATTTTCATCAATGACAAATTATTTGTAGAGATCGTAATTGTTTTCATATCTTCATTAACACTGAAAATACAAAATTTTATTTCACAAATTTATAAATTCTTTATTTTGATTTTGTATTGAAAATATAAAATATTTTTAAAAATCAGAAACTTTCATTTAATATTTAAAGATAAGAAAATTTCATTCTATTTTTGTAAATATTTAAAATATAAATTTTTTATATTTTAACATTTTAATTAATTATTTATTGTTTTTCAAAGAAACTGATAAGATCCAAACTTGTCTTAAACTTTTTGGCAATTTACTATAAAGCCTTACTTAGAAAAAATAATAGTACTATAAAAACTTGATGATACTGTTGTCTTACTATCAACTGAGTGAGTCAAAATCATCATCACAATAAATTTATTTAAGAAATATAAATCAGTATTTATTCGGATTAATATTTCCAATTTTAATTCATTTCCATAACCAACAAGCAATTATTTATTGTAATATGGTCACAATGCCAGGCTACAATTTTTAATTTAATTATTTAATTTAAAATATATGCTCTACACCTCAAATTAGTAGTGGCTTGCTCCTGTACATCATACTTTTCCTTTAACAATAGAATCATGCTGATCATCTACCTAACACTTTCTGAAGAAAAATTTTTGAATTGAAATAATGTGACTTCCAGTGCAAACCAGAAGTTCATATATAGTTAATCGATTTCCATATCTGATCTTGTCTTTCATCTATCTAACTCTGTTCTTGAGACTGAGGAAAGACAGACAGATGGACAGCAGTGGGAATTTATAGGTCTACAATTTTTTCAAATTGCAGCCCAGTAACCATTTCTTATTTTAACTAAAACAAAACATCCAGCCACAATTTCTTCCACACTTCATTCATACATTTGTCAGTTAATTCTTGCCAAGCAAAGTCAATATTGCCTGTGGCATCCATGATATTATATTTTTTCCAAAATTGTACCAAATAAACATATATTTAAGGAAAGTACAGCTCTAACAACAAATTGCCACCTTTTGCCAATTGGTTTGTGTTCGAGAACAATTGTATTATATACAAATCAATGAAATGCTGCGATAATTTGAATCAGCATAAATTTTGAGCTGTTTTTAGGCTTCTAGCAGACTGTGTTATATCAAATCAGTATTAATTGAAAAAGAGCTAAATGAGCTCTTACTGTACAATATTTTCCCATGTTATACACACAACAGCTGGGAAAGTAAATGCATTCTGAACTGTAACTTGCAAATATTTCTAATATCTGTGTAATTTTAAACAAACATATTTATGCAAAAAAATATCTAAAACTGTATAAATTAAAATAATCACTGAGAATAAAATCAAAATAGCTAAATTACATCAACATCATCTTTCTAATTTTTACTGACAAGTGAGTGAAACTATTTCTAAATACAGGTATCCCTTATACAACACAGTACTTCTACAACACTGTTTTGCTCTAACACTGTTTAAAAGTTTGGGATATCCCGTACAACGTGACTTCCGCTTTCACTCTAACATGGTTTTGGAAATCTTCCATACAAAATTCCACAATTTTTAAGTGTAAACTCCATTATTTGACATTTCTTTAATTCAAGTAAGCACGTGTGCCATCTCAAATTTGCCCAGAGATTTTAGAATATTGAAATTTTCAATTTCTTCTGTGCCTTTTGTCAGGTTTACTTTAATGAAAAGTGATAGTACAATTTCTTCTTCCTTGTCGAAGCTTTCCTATCAACCAGGTGTTGTCGTCATTGCTTTCCGACTTTAGGCCTTAAGACTTCACTATGTTTTTTTTTTATATATTAAATAAAATTTAGTAAACACAAAGATTAAACATTTTAAGTAAGTGTTATTAATCTTTCTTCAACTGTAGGTAAATAATCAATCATAAAAATGATGAATGAAATACAGTGATATCTCAGTACTCAAACTGTTCCCAACTTGAACAATTCATTATTCAAACACAAATTCTGGGGAAAAAAATTCACTCTATACCCGACTGAACAAACACAATTTGCTAGAACAAATTTTCGATTAATAACATATTTTTATTTTGTCATCCATTTATGATAAAAATAAAAAAATGAAGACATTACTGATATTTATGATCAAGATCAACAAAAACGTTCAGAAGATGACGATACTTTGTAAAAAGAAAATGTTCTTGTTTAACTAAAATTAATATTAATGCGTAATCCAATACTTTTAATTGTAATTGTTAATTAATTATCGATTGCTTTAATAAACGTATTTCTTATAGTAACAAAAGAAAATAGTATACTTTTGTTAACTTCTGGAACATATCTCTGTGTTTTGCACTAGTCCTTTGTTTCGTATAGCATGGACACAGCACTTTTTCAGAACGTATCTACCCCTTTTTTTTACAAGAGATACCTGTATATAAAAAACTGACAGGATACTTACAACTTATTCAAACATTCAAACACAGCAGACTATTTTCTGATATCTATTACTATATTAATAAAATCTTTAACAGTGACAAAAGAAAAATAATAAATCATTCCAATTACATTCAGTATTAAAGAGAAATTTAAATAATGAAAAAATATAAATTTGCCATATTTAAGAAGATATGAAGACAATGGGAAATGTTCATCCATTTCCATTAAATATTTTCTGGAATTTATTATGGTTGTCTTTATCTTCTAGAGATATATTTTCTAATTTTTGAGTAATTTTTAGTAATTGTTATAGTCAATTTGCCAAAACTAATATGGCTGGACTACATTATCTAAGTGTAATGCATTCTTGAAAATGATTTGAATATTGAGAATTTGAATATCAAAAAAATGTTTTCAATTATTTCTTACAGGAAAAGTTTTAATTTGTCTAATTTGTTCCAAGTTCATTCAAATAATCCTAATCAACTTCCCCAAGTGGCATTAAACAAGCAAAAGAAAAAAAAAAAAAACCTATTTATCTGTAAATCCATAATTTTAGCCCATATTAAACATTACAAACTTCAATTAACTTATTAACAAATGATTTTATAAACAAGACTATGTCTTTGTTGTCTTCGAAACCGTGTTTTTTGAATACATTGGACTTCGAACTCGCATTTGAGTTATAAATAAACACTTGGCTTTATTTCCATCATTTTAGTTGATTTCAACTAAAATGATGGAAATAAAGCCAAGTGTTTATTTATAACTCAAATGCGAGTTCGAAGTCCAAGACTATGTCTTGTTTATAAAATCGTTTGTTAATAAGTTAATTGAAACCAATTTTCTTACCAGCATAGAGGTATGAAGGAGTACATGTCGAGAGTTGATATTTAGCACAGAGTATTAGGTGCCCAAATCATTTGCGCATAAAAAATCCAGACTCGTAGATAGTCGGGGGACCGAGAATCGAGTCAAAATAAAATACAAAATGGCGATCCTCTTCTACAAACAGGCAAAACAGCCACCTCACCCCACCGAAGTCAGGTAGGGGAGAGTACCACCCACAAGTCATTCTAAAAAGTGAACTCTGACCTTAGGACTGAATACGTAGTTTCTTCTATGTTAAATAAAATTTGTAATCTAATTTTGTAAATTTGGGAGTGCTTCAAATATGACGTTAAAACAATTTTATGTCGTTACAAGTGGGTTTTTTTTAACATTATCTAGTATAGCAAAATCGTAGGACCAATAAAAATTTGACGTTATATTAGGGTTGTCGTTACATTCGATCAGGTTAAACTGTATATTGTTTGTGCAAAATAAAAAAATAATTTTGGACGATACAATAGCCACGATTATTTTTTTCAAAAACGGGAACTTTTCGTTACGCATCGACAAGAATTCAACCCGGACTGACACGCAATGGAGAGAAATCTTGAAATTAGATAGGTTAATTTCATTGAAGATGCATTGTGGACGATCTCGTGGTCATGGCTGGCGAAAGTTTGAATGATTGCGCCCAAAAGCAGCAATATCAAAGAAGATAGGAGAATGAGAACGAGACCTGCCTTGAGCATCAAAGTGATTCCGTCTCTGAGATATACTCTTGTCCCAAATATGGTTTTGCTGTTTTACTTGTTTTAAACTCTTTCCACTCTGTGGGCACTAAGAGGGCCTTTCTTCAAGTTCATCTTGGGTTTAGCCAAGCCCACAATAGGGTCAAATAATACTGGGACAGAACTCCTCCCAAAATTAACAAAAATTATTGAATTTCATAATAAAGAACAATGAAATATATGAAAATTTTAATAGTTAATATATCTAAAAGTTAGATCATTTTTTAGCTAGAATTATGCTAATTTTACATATTATTTTAGAATTTGGCATGAAAATAGGCAATAAGTGACCATCTTAAGTTAAGGTTAATAACTAGTAATTAATTTTGAATTTAATTAAATAAGTCAACATTTTTCATTAAGATTAACTTACAACATTTAAGTCAAATTCCATAATTTAATTAATTAAAATTAGCTCAACTGTAGCTCAAAAATAAACTGATTTTTAGATGTATAATTGACTACAAATCAGATTAATTTATTATATATTTATATTAAAACTTTATTGTTTACCTTAGGGTAGACATTGATGTATCTTGTATCAACATTAGTTTTTCTTCAATATTACTATCTGTTGGAAAAGTTATTTTGACATGATGAGAAAATTTGGAGTACAGCATATAACTTTGATGAATTGGCTTAATAGAATCCATATCTAGTAAAAATAAATAATATCAAGAATCAATTTAAAGTAATTATTTGAATATAAGCTGGAAAACTGCCGATAAATAACTATGATTAACTCTAGTTATTTTTAAAGTTGTATCCTCTATATCTAGATGAAATAATGCAGCTTAAAACACAATACAGACATACAAGATGATGTGAAACTTTACATGAAAAAACTAAATTTGAATCAGTCAAAAATTTATAAATATAAACCTTTTACAATAAGATAAAATGTCTGACAGTTTAAGTTTTCTTTTACTGCATTTAATGTTACAAAAATATAATTTTAATTAGATAAAAAATATATATTTTTTCCTTTTGTGAGTTTTCTTTGACAATTGGAAGAAGGAAAACTGCTTTATACAACAATTTATTAATATTACAGAAGAAGAACTGTAGAATTTAAAGTGGAAACTACTGGAATATTAACATGCATTACTATAACAAAAAACATTTTATAACATGTATTTACCTGTTATAAAATACCACTTATTCACTTTCACTGTTTTGGAATACTGCTTTTGATGACCAATCTTTCCTTGTAGGCTACTTTGGTTACCAAAAATTTAAAAAACTCCCCTTTAAAAACAACAAAAAATATTTGATTGAAAGCATAAACACTTTTAAAATCACTTGAATGGTCAGTTATATCCGACAATGATGAAAGTGAATAAACGTAACTGCTTTTTCGATAGACTCGGTCTTCAAATTTAATGTTATGATTCATCTCGCGCAAGAGAGAATGGTAGTCTATTATGGAGATATAGAATTAGAATACTGTTAGAATAAAAATGTGAAATCTCTAATGAAAAATAATTTATAAATTTTTATTTTAGAAACTATTTTTAAGTAAATAAAAATGTAGAATAAAAAAAATTTATTTAAAAAAATAATTGCTATATGCTATTATATAGTTCAAACTGTATTTGTAGTAATCTCAATCTATGATACTAAATCTATAGGGAAAGAGGGGTATAAACAGAAAAACAATAAAAACATCATGAAACAGATAATGCTCGCTAGCTTTATTTCCTTGCCCTCCTGCTTATACAACTATTCATTTTAATGTGGCATCATAACATCATCTTGAAAGCATTTTAAATATTGAAAATATGTTTAAATTAAACAGCTGTTACCAGCAAAACTCGTTTGAACTGATGTGACCATTGAGAAGTGTAGGCGTAAGCATTATTGATACATAATGCATCACATGGTCTACTTGCAATGGATTTTTTGAATGTTTTGAACAATAAATGTAAGGTGCCATCAATTCAAAGATGCACTACCTCAGATAAGTAAAATGGGTAAAAAAGAATGCATTTCAGGGTCAGTATGGAAATGCTTGCTGATTGGTTGTTCAGTTGTAATGAATAACATCATTGGTAGTTGATCGGTCACTCAGTAACCCACCCTTAAAGACTGACAAGTCTGGTACCAACTGGTAAATCATCAAAAACTTTGATGTTTTAGAATGACACCCAGTCTAAATGGTTGAACCAGTAAGCATTTCCAAACAGACCCTTTCAATCAAGGAAATATAATTAGAAATACAGAAATATTTATGTACACCTGTTGTAATAAAATTTTTTATTTTCAAATGATTATTTAATAACCCATTTTAAAACAGGATATTTAAAATTGTAAAATTAATAATAATAATGAAAAACATTACTTACCAAAGCACTGAATCAACCAATCATTTACACCTTTTGCAACGGCATCAAAAGCTGTATGAGGGGAATATACACTTATGTACGATTGTATGCATTTAATTATCAAATTTTCTTTCCAATTTTTACACGTTAAAGATTTTAAAGGTTTAAAAATAGGAGGATGATAAGATACAATTAAATCAATTTTCTTCTCTACAGCTTCCAATAAAACACTTTCAGTTAAATCGTTCGTCAAAAGTATTTTATTCACCTAATGAAAACAAATTTAAATTTATAAATATACGTTCATAAATTTCTTTAAATTTATTTACTGATTAGTTTAACTTGGCATACTCTTTGGAACAAACAAAAATTACATACTCTTTTAAAAAAGGCACTGTTATACTTCAGATTTTAAATTTAAAAATTATTTCTAAATTAACCAAACACAGTTTTATCTCAAAAATCTAAATTATTTTCAAATTAAACTAAAAAAATTTTATAAAATGATTTCTAAAATTTTCATTTGTGATTAAATTTAATGGTATTTTTCCATGCGTTTGTAATTTCCGTGCAACAAATCACTTTTAAATTCTTACCAATTTCATTGTAATTTATGTATCTTAAGATATTTTGATCATAGGAATAATAATCCGTTTTATTAAACTATCCACAAATACAGCATCTTTCAAAATGAATGTTACCAATTTAAATTGCTGCAATTGTGTCAATTGTTGTCTGAGAAGTATGTGACATACACCAATCAATAAAGTAACCATCCAAGTTTCATCTCCTATCTGCATTCAAATGCCTTCTTGGCTACTATCTCTAGGAAGCATCATAAACAAGTGGTAACTACAACAGAAGATGATTTGTGTTTTGCAGTTCAAAAAGATAGAATCAATCATCCTGTGCAACATGGGAAATCAGCAGGAGGCATAGAATTGTGGGTGCCATGGGATGAGTGATGACAGATATGCTGTAGCAAATGTAGGAAGAATTTGAGTGTAGATTGAATGTGTGCTATGTGATACAAGGTGCATACATTGCAAAATTGTAAGGGGACAAATGTGAAAAAATGTGAAACAAGGACAGTTTTCCTACATTTTACTGTACATTACAGTATTCTTGGATAATAATTAACTTAATTACAATAATTTAAAATGATAGCTTTGTTTTTGGAACACCATGTATATTATAATCCTACTAATATACAGTATTATTAGAATTCTCAGCTTCTATTACAGTCGACCCCCCTATAAGATCATTGATTTTTCCGTTTTATCTGAATTACATGTTGTACGAGTCACTTAGATTTTACAAATACGTGTGCCGGACTGTGAATGGCTCACATATTTGTAAAATCTAAGTGACTCGTACAACATGT